GTCTGGTCATTCAATGACAGACCTGCGCGTGACTATCTTAAAACAGAAAAACTTCAAAAACAGACTCCAACGAGAGACTGCTGAGCTGGAATGGATATGCAAACTAGATACAATCAACTCAGGATTGAATAAGGACTGGGAATGGCTGAGCCATTACAAACATTGAATCTATCTCCCCTTGTAAGTATTCTCACACTTCTTATCAAACTGTCTGTACTGGGCTAGCTTGATTATCACTTCAAAAGTTTTTTATACTTACTTAATTGGCCTCTCAGAGTTGGTAAGACAACTCCCACCTGTTCATGCTCTCTGTATGTGTGTATATATATCTCCTCAATATATGTTCCATTCTATGCATCCGAAGAAGTGGGCTGTAGCCCACGAAAGCTTATGCTCTAATAAATTTGTTAATCTCTAAGGCGCCACAAGTACTCCTGTTCTTTTGGCCTGTAATAAGAGTTTTGTCAATTTTGGAAAGGGCACCAGTGCTAGCATTTTTATCGGTGCCATAGTTCCTGAAGTAAGCCTGTCTTCTTTCCCAGAGCTGGGAAACGGTGCTGATGTTTGTAGGTCTGACCAGTTAGGATCGCTAGTTTCTTCATGTTGGTACCGGAGGTACTCAGACGGGCCCTAGAGCAGTGTCCCCTGGCAGACGATGCAACAGACAAACTCAGGGATAGTGTTCTGGTGGGCTGTGCTTCAGTGTGTGAGGAAAGAGCCTGTTTCTTTTCATCTGAGTGAGAAAGAGAAGACTCTCTCTTCGAGGGATGTTGGGACTGAGGATTGGCAGATGACCCGCTGAGTGTGAGGGCCTCTCTGGGGAAGAGTCCAGGCCCAGGTCTGTTGCCGGTCACAGCGATTTCTCCCCAAGGAGAAGTTTTAATCTGTCTCAGTCTTTTCTGGCTTTGGGTTTCAGGACAAGACAGTGGGAACACTTTTGTGGGACATCTCTCTCTCCCAGGCAGCAAATGCACTGTGGGTGGCCTCCGTTACTGGGAGGGGGCCCTGCAAGAAACACACCTCTTAAACCCAGGAGATCTGGGCATAAATGTGAAAGAAAAAGCTTCCTAAGCAGGAATGGTGGGAAACGGAAACCAAACCTATGAAATAACTGAAAGTAAAGTTAAAAAAAGGTATATGAAAAAAATTATATACATATATACACACATATAGATATGTTTTCTTTGTCATCTAACTACACTACACTAACAGGTAAGGCACTATTTAGTAAAGCAATAGGAGAAGTGGGTTCTGCTGCGGATTCTGTTCCAGACCAAAGGCAGTAGAGAAGGAACTGGGGGTGGTCAGACCGCACAGCGTTTTTTATATGTCCCACTCACAGCTTGAGGGGGGAGGTGCACATGTGCCGTCCGATGGGCACTGCTGATGAAGATCTCCTGTCCCAGGTGCAAGGGGCACTGCCACACCTACAAGAGGAGCACTCATAGGGACATCGCTCCAAGAAGAACAATGGTACTTTTCTTCTTAATAAAATATTCTGTTCTTAAATCCACATGACCAACATGGGGCTTCTTTTTTAAACTCAAGATCTGAGGTAAATTTAGCTATTAAAGTGAGTAATATATCCCTTTATAAGCAATCTACATATGCTTATTATTTATAAGAATTATTATAAGAATATTGTAAGAATTTGCTTGGCACTACTGGAAGGCCACTGAGGCTAAAAGTTAGATGTGGATTATGTACAAAACTAATTCCTCCCTGCCCTCAACCCCATGCCAGACACTTGTTATCCATCCATCTGCATATACTATACCCAACACTTTGTTCAAGGAAAAAAGCTGTTGAAGGAAAAGTGATCATATTAATCTGAAATATTCTACTATTACTGCAAGAGTATTGAGGGGGAAAAAAGTGTTTTTAGAAGTTAAAAATACCATTGTACAAATTCTCTCCTTCCCCACATTGTGCGTAAAAGTGGTTCTCAACCAGGGATTCGGGGTGTGTGGGTGTCTGTGAGAGTGAGTGAGTGAGAGGTTTCAGGGGGGCCGCCAAGCAGGGCCAGTGTTAGACTCGCTGGGGCCCAGGGCAGAAAGCCAAAGCTGTACCACATGGGGCTGAAACCCCTGTGGCTGCAGTTGAAACCTGAGCAATGTAGCTTTGCAGGGCCTCCTGGGGCATGAGGCCCCAGGCAATTCTCTACTTGCTACCCCCTAACACTGGCCCTGGCTTTTATATACAGAAACACAGTTGTTGTGGCACAGCTGGACCATGGAGTTTTATAGCATGTGGGGGGGGGGGGGGGGGGGGGG